GGGGGGGGGGCGGGGAGGGGGGAACATTCCTGGCTGCTTGTGCGTTTAAATGGGTGTGGTGCTAAGTATATCTTGTTTACCTTATCTTTCTGTGGAAAAAGTTTTGAAGTCTGGTTGGGTTTGTCACATCATGCCTGTTGCCTAGCACTGCCTAAAGTGCTCTTATCTAGCAACAGGCTGGGTAGGTGGAGGTCGTGGCTTGGCCTCACAGAAGTTGAGAGTAAAGGATGCTTGGGTTGTTGTTTTAAAAATTATTTAAATTCTTTTTAAATAGAGCGCTTGAATTTCCTTAAGAGGACTCGAATTGCCCGGAGCGAGTTAGTTTTCAATTTTAATTGAAAGGAGTTCTAAGATTTCTGCAAGGTGTCAATGTGGAAGTGGCCATTGTAGGCAAAACAGTTCTTAGACACAGTGTGACAGTTTGGTATTGATCAGGATACTGTTGTGAAATTAGTGTGTTCCAGAGTCAGTAAGTAAGGGATTATTTTACAGATTTGTACAACTTTCTTTTTTTTCTTTTACTCCTTCTTTGGTAACTATTTTTTCCCTCTGTGGGGAACCCCAAGATGACAAGAATGCACACGTCATAAGAGACAATTTACCAAAATGTAACCTTCACAAAAGTGGTGCATAATACGTTTTAGAGTTTTAAATTTTAATTTTTGTTTTGTTTGTTTGTAGATCTATATTCCCTCTCTATTGCAGATCCCTTGGTCAGTGTGCCTTTCTTTTTCACATGGGTGTTTTTATCGTATGACTGTTACCCTGTGTCTTTGTTACAAAATTTCATTCATTATTTATCCTTCCATTCCTTTCAGGTTTGAAATAGCTGAGATCGGCAACAAAAGTTAGGTGAACATTCTCAACTGACTTTCCTCTTAGATTTTAAATGCATCCATATGATACAGTGTGGTAAAAAGGAAAGTCAGCAGTGGACTGAAAAAAGAATAAAATATTTTTGTAGAATACGTGCAGATTTGCTGGTATTATCTACTCGTCTGGTTCACCTCGGTAGGCGCCACAGAAATGGGTAGATTGATATGTGATGCATTTCTTTCCCCTCTGGCAAAGTCAGCTATTAATTTCAGTGGGAGACAGTGGCAGAATGTTGTTACTAATGAGGTTTGAATCAGATGTTGTTTACTGTTAGTTATGTAACATGTTGCTGGAAGTATTATTAAAAGTTGCCTTCTGTAGCAAGGTAGAGGCAAGTAAATTCTGCTTACTCTTCACTGAGTTTTAATTCTTGGCTGAACCTGAAGGCACATTACACTATAACCATAATTATACCTGGGCAGCCTGTCTGTTTCCTGTTTTCATCATGAACCCAAACATTATGATTTGCAGTGATGATCTTTTTTGTCCTTTGCGTTAAACAGAGGCAATATGTTTTCTCTGTCTACTGAAAACAGATTTGTAACTTGGTCAAATCAAAGATACTGGATTCTCTGTTTTTGAAGACCAAACAGTAAAATACCAGTTTTTCACTTTTTAGTAATGTACATTGAAATACTAATGCTGTCTTAAAAAATCTATTTTACACATATTGTTTGATAGTGCTTTATGTAAATTTTAATGTTACCAGTAGTTTGTAGAGTGTGTGAATTAAGAAAGCCCTTTTTGTTTATGACTTATCAGTGTTTATTATTACCAGATGTATATGTTGGTTTAGGCAGTGAGCCACACATTTGGATAAATTTCAGAGTCTGCTTGAGTGTACTTTAGGATATAGCCGCCTTTATTCCTTTGGTTTATCATTTTTCCCTGTTCTCTTTACTTCTGGAGGGTCTGTGTTCATTTCTCTTTTTTTAAATTTTTCTTTTTCTTTTTTTTTTTTAATGTTTATTTAGAGAGAGAAGAGAGTGAGTTGGGGAGGGGCAGAGAGAGAGGGAGACACAGAATCCGAAGTGGACCCCAGGCTCTGAGCTGTCAGCACAGAGCCCAACGTGGGGCTCAAACCCGCAAAGCACGAGATCATAACCTGAGCCCAAGTCGGACGCCCAAGCTACTGAGCCACCCAGGCACCCCACGTGTCTCTCTCTTTGTGTGTGTATGTTCCATACTAATCACAAAGAAGAAGCCAAAATAGTTTATTTCTTCACATGTTACCAGTGCCTTATATCTGATGGGTGTGCCGCTTGACTCAAGGTCAAAGACATTGAAGATTTCCTTTTATAAAGGACAGTTGCAGCCTGAGAGATGATTTGTAACTCCACCAGTCTGATTATTCTGGAGAGGAGAGTTATCTGGAAGGCTACGACCCAGGAAGGCTGCAGGGAGATAGGGTGCTTTCCCACCAAAGAAGATGGTGCACGACCCCAGGAAGCCTATACATGTCTTTTCACACCTTGTTTTTCCACTTCCAAACCTAATAGAATAACAGTAATTGAAATTTTTAGTGTTAGATTATCTAGTTTATTGTCGTTATCTAGAACTCTGAATCCGAGAAGTATGTGTACTAGTTGGAAGGTTAAGATACACAGTTCGTTTTGAAGAATTGATTGTTGTTAGGACCAGCTAATTTCCCATTTTCGTACATCACGTTTACATTCTAATATTTTTATTGTTTGAAAGAGGGGGTAATTACAGAGTTAGTAGGTTTTTCATAAATAATCACCTAGTTTCCAGCTCTTCAATGTTGTTTGTTTGTTTGTTTGTTTGTGTTTGTCTTGGGCAGCTAGCTGGAGACATTTTTGGCCCCATCTTAGGAGGGAGGTGGTTTCAGTGACTTTTCTTCCTGCTTTTACTGTGATATTCCTGACTTGGTTGTGACATTTTAGAAGAAAGAATTATTTATCAGACAGTTCTGTATGGGCAAGACTAAAATTGAAATTCACTTTTGGAAGCTAGTTGTTAAAGTACATTTTGTGAACAGGTTTTGCTTTTGAATTCTCTGGTGTACTAGTCTCTGTAGTGTTCATCCAATTTACAGAGGAGTATACTCTGAAAATCTGACAATGGTTTGATCTGTTGTCTGATTTGAACTGGATTTCCCCTTTTGATTTCTGTATATATGTGTTACTTTGTTACTGCTGAAAATAACAGTAAGAAAAGAAGCTAGTGTCACCATGCACTTTTCTCTGAGCTTAGCACCTGGAGTCCCGAGACATGCCTTACGCTTTGCCCATTTAACTATGATCTCAGAATATGGCTGGTGCTTTCAAGGCAAGTTTTGTTTTGTTCACTTTTGTTTTCATGATGTGTCAGGATCTGCCTTGCATCCTATCTGGTGGGCTGTATAACTTGAGATCTAGTTATTCTGGTTTCTGTGTTCCCAGGAAAAGGGGGTACTGTGGAAATATTTCAAAGCTAGTCTTTTGGGTTTTTTCCCCCTTATTCACCTCTTTCTGCCCACTTAAGTGAGTACCTACTTAACTTACTGACCATTTCCATTTCCACTCTTTGGAGCTGAGTGTACATTAAATGAATGATGACAACAGCTGAAAAGGTATCCAGAGCCATATTTGCTCCCTTTTCTTCTGAGTAGGTGACTTGAACTCTGGGGTGCACATGAGGTATGTGGAGACCATCTTCCTAAAGTGTTGTGTACTCAGGTTCGTGCTTGGTGCTCCAGAGACACATTTGGTAATGTAATGATTTGGTATCCCTTGACGATTTTATAATTTAAAGGAAAGCACCATAATGATTGACCAGCTCTGTGTCTATTCCTGTGCCTACAGGCCTGTACAAGTATACTGAAACACATCTGGTAGTAATAGAGGAAAT